AATGACAGGTGATGGTTTCAGTAACTACTTTGCCAGGGCATGCTGTCAGTAAGGGCTTCTCTACATACCAGCGCAATCAATTCAGATGAACAGCCCCAGATCCTCATTTTTGTGGGTGTTTCCAAGGACCACTCCAGGGGGGGCTCCAAGTATGAATGTTTCAACGCTCAACCAGGAAAGCAGAAACTTCTTAGCTATTTCTACTTTTATTTTTTTGAGAGTGAGTCTTCCTCTGTTGCCCAGGCTGGAGCGCAGTGGTGTGATCTCAGCTCACTACAACCTCCGCCTCCTGGGTTCAAGCGATTCTCCTGCCTCAGTCTCCCAAGTAGCTGGGATTACAGGCATGTACCACCATGCCCAGCTAACTTTTGTATTTTAGTAGAGACGGGGTTTCACCATGTTGGGCAGGCTGGTCTCAAACTCCTGACCTCAAGCGATCTGCCTGCCTCAGCCTCCCAAAGTGTTGGGATTACAGGCATGAGTCACTGCGCCTGGCCGAGAATTGTTTTCAAGGGTATTGTCAGCGCTGGAGGCGCATGACTGAGAAGGAGGTGTGTGACTGAAAAGGCAGAGGTGCTATAGAGCAAAAGGGAGGAGATGCTACCTAGAGATCAGGAAGCTGGGACTGCCCCTGGCCCGGAGCCCACACTCGCTCCAGGACTCCAGGGCTGCCACTGTTGAGCAGACACTTAAGAGTGAAGCTGCTCAAAGCACCACATGTGCAGGTGGTGATCCCTATAACCCCACTGCAGTCACTACCCTGCAGTCAGCAGGCAGATAAACAGGCTTCTTCCTCCCACCCCACAGCAATCTTTCACAGGAGCCTCCAATTTGCAGAACCTACCCAGAAGCCAGCCAACAGGGCATTCTGGGAAGTGCAGAAAACTGCCTTGTACCACCCTGGGATGCCCATGAGAATGGTGCAGAGGCACTGTCGTTAAGACAAAGTGAGCCCCTAAAAAATGGAGCTAACAACAGGATGAGACTCACTCACTGAGCTTTTTCCAGAGCCGGGAAGTTCTCAAGGATAACAGTCTTGAATTCTGCCATTTAGGTTTAAAGCTTGTTTCCTTTTTTACATTTTTTTTTTTCTTGTTGTAGAGACAAGGATCTTGTTGTATTGCCCAGGCTGGTCTCAAACTCCTGGTTTCATGTATTTCTCCCGCCTCAGTCTCCAAGTGTTGGGATTACAGCTGTGAACAACCACACTGGCTTTTTTTTTTTTTTTTTCAAATGGTAAGCACTTCTTTTCCAGTCTGGATTTCCGCTTGGCTTCTCTACTTCTCAAATTATTAATAACTGCAAACATCACCTGCCCATTCTACAAGCTGAGCTTCTCATCCCTATTCTTTCTCCCCTCCCTCCCTCCCTCCTTCCTTCCTCTTCCGTGCTCTTTCCTAATGTTAACCCACCCTGTTCTCACACATACTCAAAAGAGAAAGACAAGCCATACAAAAAACAATAGCCAGCTAGGGAAACAAAACATCTACCAGCTTCAAAATATGTCATCACTATGGCTTGTTTCTTGTGTGGACCAAAGGACCCTCTTGTGTAGCTGCTCTTGTGTAGCAGTTCCCTGCCCGTCTTTTGTGAATGTCAAGGGCTTTCCCACTTACAGAGGCAAGGCTGGGAGGGAGAGGGAGTCTGCAGCTCCACCTCCTGCTTGTGCAAACTGCCAGGCGTCGGCTCTGCATAAGGCACAGTGCAATTTCGTCATCACTCAAGAACTAGTGTGTGCTTTTAAAGTGGATCTGCTCCCTTCAAAACCTTTTTTTTTTTTTTTTTTTTGAGAGGAAGTCTTACTGTTGCCCAGGCTGGAATGCAGTGGTGTAATCTCGGCTCACTGCACCCTCCACCTGAATTCAAGTGATTCTTCTGCCTTAGCCTCCCGTGCAGCTGGGATTACAGGTGCTCACCACCATGCCCAGCTAATTTTCGTATTTTTAGTAGAGATGAGGTTTTGCCATGGTGACCAGGCTGGTCTGGAACTCCTGACCTCAGCAATCCATCTGCCTCGGCCTCTCAAAGTGCTGTGATTACAGGTGTAAGCCACTGTGGCTGGCCTGAAACTTTTTTTTTTGAGATGGAATCTCGCTTTGTTGCCCAGGCTGGAGTGCAGTGGCGCTGTATCTGCTCACTACAACCTCTGCCTTCCGGGTTCAAGTGATTCTCCTGCCTCAGTCTCCTGAGTAGCTGGGACTACAGGCGCTCACCACCATGCCCGGCTAATTTTTATATTTTTAGTAGAGATGGGGTTTCACTACGTTGGCCAGGCTGGTCTCGAACTCCTGACCTCATGATTCGCCCATTTTGGTCTCTCCAAAACTTTTTTTTGAGACAGGGTCTTGCTCTGTTGCTTAGGCTGGATTGCAGTGGCACAATCACCGCTCATTGCAGCCTTGACCTGCTGGGCTCAAGCCATTCTCCTGCCTCAGCCTCTAGAGTAGCTGGGAACACAGGTGCATGCCATGATGCCCTATTAAATTTTTTTTTGCCGGGCGCAGTGGCTCACGCCTGTAACCCTAGCACTTTGGAAGGCTGAGGTGGGAGGATTACCTGAGGTCAGGAGTTCAAGACCAGCCTGACCAACATGGCAAAACCCTGTCTCTACTAAAAATACAAAATTAGCCTGGCATGGTGGCACAGTAGTAATCCCAGCTACTCGGGAGGCTGGGCCAGGATAATTGCTTGAACCTGGGAGCCAGAGGTTGTAGTGAGCCGAGAGTGCGCATTGCACTCCAGCCTGGGCAACAAGAGCGAAATAAATACATAAATAAAAATAATTTTTTTTTTGTTTTTGAGACGAAATTTCTCTGGTTGTCCAGGCTGGAGTGCAAGTGGTGCTGGTCTGGAACTCTTGACCTCAGGTGATCCACCCATCTCGGCCTCCCAAAGTGCTGGGATTACGTGAGCCACAGCACCCAGCCAGAGGTATTCTTTATTTTTCAGTCTCCCTCAGACCTGAAGGTCAGCTCTAAGAGGGCAGGGACCACGCAGCCCTGCTCACTGGCTGTACCCTTGTGCTTAGCAATGCCTGACATGTATTTCTGTGCTCAATTATGTGCGCCAGGACCTGAGGTCACAGTGGTGAAGATGACACTATACTTAACACCCTCCAATTCAAACCTTTGCCAAAATGTGCTCCCTATCTCCGTAAATAGCTCTTTACCAAGGCCTTTCTGATATCTCAGTAAGCTGTGCTGATATTCCACATCAGCTCCCTCTTGAAATCAGACCCCAAACCCTACCACTTCCCATGATCCTGCTAAAAGTTAAGTTGGTGGCCGGAGGCGGTGGCTTACGCCTGTAATCCTAGCACTTTGGGAGGCCAAGGCGGGCGGATCACAAGGTCAGGAGATCGAGACCATCCTGGCCAACATGGTAAAACCCCGTCTCTACTAAAAATAGAAAAAAATAGCTGGGTGGCACGTGCCTGTAATCCCAGCTACTCAGGAGGCTGAGGCAGGAGAATTGCTTGAACCAGGGAGTCGGAGGTTGCAATGACACGAGATCGCACCACTGCACTCCAGCCTGGCGACAGAGCGAGTCTCCGTCACCAAAAAAAAAAACCAAACAAACAAACAAACAAAAAAACCTGTTAAGTTGGACCCCTTACTCTTCCAAGGGCCTCCCCACTCATTCAGAGCGAATTCTGCAGTCTCCACGGCCCTCCCTGGTCTGGCCCCTGACCATCTCCTGCCTCTCTCCTCCCAGCTGCTGTCCCCTTGGTACCGCCGGCCTCCTGAGGGCCAAGTTCCTGGGTTCTCGTAATCATCTTCTACCTGGTCTCTGTGACTCCGCCCTTAAGCGCACCCACCCCCTCCCAGCCCGCAGCTGCAGGGATCCTTTAAAAACTGCCCGGGCCGGGCGCGGTGGCTCAAGCCTGTAATCCCAGCACTTTGGGAGGCTGAGACGGGCGGATCATGAGGTCAGGAGATCGAGACCATCCTGGCTAACCCAGTGAAACCCCGTCTCTACTAAAAAATACAAAAAATTAGCCGGGCGTGTTGGCGGGCGCCTGTAGTCCCAGCCACGCGGGAGGCTGAGGCAGGAGAATGGCGTGAACCCGGGAGGCGGAGCTTGCACTGAGCTGAGATCCGGCCACTGCACTCCAGCCTGGGCGACGCAGCGAGACTCCGTCTCAAAAAAAAACAAAAACAAAAACAAAAAAAAACTGCCCGGGACTCCTTTGCTCAAACCCTACCACGACTTCCCATTTTTTTTTTTAGATAAAAAAAAAAAACCAACAGGACCTAGCCCCGGGCTGCCTGTCAGACCTCAGCGAGCACGCCAGGCTCTGCACACCGTCTCTCGGAGCAGCCCCGAAGAGGCTGTTCCCACCAGGCTCCAGGACCTCCTCCGGGCAGCTCCCCGCCCTTCACCCCCAATGAAGGCGCCTCTCCCCATCACCCCGCAGCGCAGAGCGGTGCAGCAAGCCCGGCCCCGCCGCATGGCCCGTGCTGGTCTCTGCTCTTCCACCGGCCGCGTGGCTACCGGCGCAGGACGCATCTGCTGCCGCTTGGTCGCCCCCCCAGAAATTTGTGCTTCAGGAAAGCGTCACTTTTGCCCACGGCGGCACGCCCGGTCCTAGCACAGCGCAGGCCCTTAACACACAGCACCGAGCGACGAGGCCCGGACTCAGAGGGTTTTGCTTGCCCATTCGCAGAGCCCTCACCCGGATCAAAATCGTAGTCCGCGATCGCAGCTCGGAGACTCCCGAGAAGTGCGCGCCCCCGCAGCGCCCCGACCCCCGCCCCTCACTAGACTCTGGACTCCTGGCTCCACATCAGGTCACACACTCGGGTGGAGGGGGGAGGAGCCGAAGGGCGGCGCATGCGCAGATTGGGCGCGCGAGGCATCACGGAGCTCGTAGTCTCCCGGACGGGCCGCTCCAGGCCTCGCGGCGGCGCCTCCCCACACTACAACTCCCACGGGGCAGCGGGCGCGGCTCCCCGCACCCACCGGCTGGCCGGCAAGGCAGCCACTTAGCAGTCGGGCCCGCCGGCTGCCGCCCGCGCGAGGGGCGGGAAGATGGCGGACGTGGTCGTGGGCAAAGACAAGTGCGGGGAGCAGCGGCTCATCTCGCTGCCTCTATCCCGCATCCGGGTCATCATGAAGAGCTCCCCCGAGGTGTCCAGCATCAACCAGGAGGCGTTGGTGCTCACAGCCAAGGCCACGGTGAGGGGGTAGGGCGGGGGTGTGGGCCGCCCTTACCCGTCGCGCCCCGCCCCGCCGGGCTCCGGGCACTGCCCATTCCCCTTGGGCCCGCGCGCCGCCGGCTGCCCTTGCCGGGCTCGCGCGCGCCCCGCTGTCCCCGTCCCACGCCGGCGCGCGCCACGGTGCCCCCTCGCCCCTACACTTTCTCGCGCGTCTTCGCCCCGCCCACCCCGCGCCGCTCCCTCCGGTTCCCGAGTTTTTTCGCCCCGCCTACCGCGCGCCTCTCCCGCCCTTTCTCTCCTTCCTTCGCTCCGCCCGCCCCTCCCTTCCTTGTGCACCTTCGCCCCTCCCACCCCACTGTCCTCCCGCCATTTCTCGCGCGCTTCCGTCCGGCAAACCTGTAAACTCCCGCGTTCCTCTGCGTGCCTTTCGTCCCGCCTACCTGTACGCTCCCGTCCTCCCTCGCGTGCGGCTCGCAGTTTCCGGCTCTACCCGTGGGCGTCGGTGTCGAGTGGCGCTTTTCTCGTTAGGTTTTTTTGGGGGCTTTTTCGCCCGAGATTCCCACTCCCGGCGTTCCTTTTCTCGTCACTGGCCTGCTTCGTGCTTTGGGGACCCTGACTCCTCCAATGTCCCGTGGGAGGTGCAGCCAGGCGCTTCACCCGCCACTCGAGGCTTTTTTCCCCGTAGGTGCGGTGCCAGCTCCAGCGGTCCGAGGCTTTCGAGCCCACCCGCCCGCCACACCTGGCCCCTCGTCTTAAGAGGCAGCACATACCGCAACCAGAATTTAAGGAAGTCCAGGGAACTTAGTTTTACAGCCTGTTTAGCATCCTCTTGGGTGCAAAATAGTTAATTTTGTCTTTTTTTAAGAAATTGCGTCTTGATAGTGTTAGGCCAGATGTTTTCCTGTTCTGAAACTGGGCCATGTTTCAGCTACACAGTTAAATGCTTTGGCTTGCCTTGGATTCCATTTTCCAGTCCCTACTTGTAGTTAAGTATATGATGTTCCGACAGTATTGGACTAGAACTAAGGGAAGTGGGAAATTACAGGTTTCTTGCCCGCTTTATATCAGAGCCATGTTTTCCTAGAGCCCAGGGAAATAATTGCATATTCAGCAATTATTGCACCTACGCCACAAACAGCCAGAGGGAAAGTGACCCTGGGGTCATCTGGGGGCATTTGTGTTTTCCTGTACAGTTTCATTCTGTTGGTATTAAGGAATGAGGATTTATGCAGGCACTTCTGATCCCTTATTTTCTGAGATGGAGTTGCCCAGGCTGGAGTGCAGTGGCGTGATCTCGGCTCACTGCAACCTCTGCCTCCCGGGTTCAAGTGATTCTCCTGCCTCAGCCTCCTGAGTAGCTGGGATTACAGGTGCTTGCCATCACACTTGGCTAATTTTTGTACTTTTTGGTAGAGACAGGGTTTCACCATGTTGCCCAAGTTGGTCTTGAACTCCTGACCTCTCGTGATCCGTCTGCCTCAGCCTCCCAAACTGCTGGGATTACAGGCCACCATGCCTGTCTTTCTCATCCCTTATTAACTGAACTAGATGCATTAAAGTCAAAACCTTGAGAAAGGCTCAGTTCAGCTTCTGTAAAAATGAAGACTTGGGCCTGCTATAAGAACTGGGGTGCAGGAGGGAGAAGATGATCAGTTCCGGTTGTTGCATTAGGTCTGAGGATTGTACGTTAGTTTCTAGAATAGAAAAGTTTCGGCAAAATGTGAGTTGTGGTCACTATAGTTGTAGGTGAACCACCTTAGAAACAGTGTATGCAAATAGAAGACTAAAAATGTATTACTGAGCCAAATAGAATTTTTGAATGGCTTTTTGCTTCTTTCTTTCTTTCTTTTTTGAGACAGTCTCGCTCTGTCTCCCAGGCTGGAGTGCAGTGGCGCGATCTCGGCTCACTGCAAGCTCCGCCTCCCGGGTTCACGCCATTCTCCTGCCTCAGCCTACCCAGTAGGTGGGACTACGGGCGTCCGCCACCATGCCCAGCTAATTTTGATTTCGTATTTTTAGTAGAGACGGGGTTTCACCGTGTTAGCCAGGATGGTCTCGATTTCCTGACCTTGTGATCCACCCGCCTCGGCCTCCCAAAGTGCTGGGATTACAGGTGTGAGCCAGCACTGCTGGCCGCTTCTTTTTTTACTCTAGAGGTTGGCCATTAAACAGTTATGATTAATCTTTTTCATAAGTTAGACATCTAAAGCCTCTGGAAAATGCCTGCTTCTCTGCCAGTTTTGATACCGGCTTTGCTTTCTTTCTGACCTCATGTTTTTCTTTTCCCCAGTGATTGATTTCTTTCTTTTCTTTTTTTTTTTTTTTTTGAGACGGAGTCTCGCCCAGGCTAGAGTGCTGCAACCTCCAACCTCCACTTCCCAGGTTCAAGCGATTCTCCTGCCTCAGCCTCTCAAGTGGCTGGGATTACAGGCACCTGCCACCATGCCCAGCTAATTTTTTATTTTTAATAGAGATGGGGTTTCACCATGTTGGCCAGTGTGATCTCAAACTCCTGACCTCAACTGATCCGACTGCCTCAGCCTTCCAAAGTGTTGAGCCACCACACCCGGCCTCCGCAGTGATTTCTTGTAATTTAAGAAACCAAGATAATCTGAAGTCTTAATGTAATTTTAAGCCTGATAATAAGGTATCAGCAATGTAATTTTACAAAATTAAGCTCTGTGGTACATTTTCAAAGCACACCTTTTATTTTCCTTCTTCATTTTGTTTTAGGAGCTCTTTGTTCAATGCCTAGCCACCTATTCCTACAGACACGGCAGTGGAAAGGAAAAGAAAGTACTGACTTACAGTGATTTAGCAAATACTGCACAGGAATCAGAAACTTTTCAGTTTCTTGCAGGTACTTAGTCTTTGAAACATTCTGGTTAAAAAATGATTAGTAATCAATAGCTCTTTCCCCACCCCTTGCCTCCCTTCTGCTTTCATGGAATTAGACTTTTTGCTACTCTTTCCAGGCCGCAAAGTGCTATGAGCTGTCACAGGAAGATACTTTTAGTCTTCTCTGTTTGAATGTGTGTGTTATGTGGTCCACCTAGAACAACAGTGAAGCCAACAGCATTCAGAAGATGTTGGTTGGCCGCCTGTGCTGGGCAGTCCTTTACCGGGACCCTTCCTGCCACTGAAGGGAAAACTCAGGGTGGGTCCACATGCCCATAGTTAGAGCTTAAGTCTGCCCTGGGGCTAGCCTAGCCTATCTCAGGTAATCGGGCAGGGTTGCTTATAAAAGCAGCTCATAGAGACACCATGGTTTGTACTCAGTGGAATAATGGAAAGAGGCCTATAGCATTTGTTAGGAGACAATGCTAGTTTCTGTGATATTTTACCCAGAAATGTAGCCTGAATTTCATCTATGTTTTGGAACCTCTTGTAGAGGTCAAAGCAGGAACTAGTACATTTTGAAATGTGCATTGCTGTGTTCATAGTCTACCATAACCAATTGCTGATGTAAGCTTTATGTTTTTAAGATATATTACCAAAGAAGATATTAGCTAGTAAATACCTGAAAATGCTTAAAGAGGAAAAGAGGGAAGAAGATGAGGAGAATGACAATGATAATGAAAGTGACCATGATGAAGCTGAATCCTAAACCAAAAAAGTGCTTTAAAAACCAGCCTGGCGAGGACTGCCCTGGACCCGCTCCACTGTCTATAAGTAAACACAGCACTGCCCGCTTTTAGCGTCTTCACTTCCTCACAGACTTCCAGTGCGTGATATTCTTTCGAGGTATTCTTTCCAGGCCAAGATTGAGCGCCTCATGCACCTGCGCCACAAACAGCCAGAGGGAAAGTGACCCAGACAGCAGTCCCTCCTTGACAGGCCCACCCTGCAGCTCAGGCACCAAGAAAGCAGCCGATACTGGCAGCCATTGCAGCTCCAAACTGCAGAGGCAAGGCCAATTTTAACTTTTCAATTTACAGTCGATTTTGAATAACTTCTATGTATCAGTTATGTAAATTCATGTATGTATATTTTGGAATCAGTTCTTATAAACAGCTCGATTCAGTTTTAGCTAAATAGATAGTTTATAGGTCGTATGTTATATTTGAATTTTTGTCTTAAGTTGACTGTTCAGATATTTTTCTACTGTAAAGAAACATACTTTTAAAGATCTGTACATGTTTTTACAGTAAAATGCTTTATGGAACTAGTTCTAGAGCCCTCTGTGGCTTTAAGGCCTTGCTTACTGCCTGCAAATTTTGAGAAACTTAAAAATAAGCATTCTAACACTTATTCCCACAGAAAAATTCCAAGTCAAATTATCAAATCAAATACAAAAATAAGTCTTACCTCTTGTATAAGCATGTTGTACTAAAAAAAAGTTTTGAAACATTTTGTATATTGAAGATCTCTCTCATCTTACTGTTCTTTGCTTTCAATTCCTGGCACTTATTTTTACTGTCTCTAAGAGAAAACCTATCATAAGCCTTTTTTTTTTTTTTAAACCCCACATAGGGTAAATATTTGGTTCCTCTCATTTCATTATCTTTTTTTTTTTTTTTTTAAAGACAGATTCTTACTCTGTCGCCCAGGCTGGAGTGCAGTGGCGCTATCTCGGCTCACTGCAACTTCCACCTCCCAGGTTCAAGTGATTCTCCTGCCTTATCCTCCCGAGTAGCTGGGATTACAGGCGTGTGCCACCATGCCCAACCTATTTTTGTATTTTTAGTAGAGATGGGGTTCACCATGTTGGCCAGGCTGGTCTCAAACTCCTGACTTCGGGAGTGATCTGCCCGCCTCAGCCTCCCAAAGTGCTGGGATTACAGGCGTGAGCCACCATGCCTGGCCTTCATTATCTCTTTTTTAAAAATAAAAAAGTTTATAATTTACATTCAGTAAAATCACCCTTTTTAGTGTCTAGGCTGTGAATTTTGACAAATGCATAGTTTTGTAACCAATCGATAGGACAGTTCTATCACCCAGGACATTCCCCTGTTCCCTGTACTTAGTCTCTTCTCCTGCACCCTGGCAACTACCGGTGTTTTCTGTCCCTCTTGTTCATTAGCATTTATTTTAAAATAAAATATTTTTAAAAATACTTTTTGGTGTAGAGTTCTGAGTTTTGGCAAATGCAGTCAAGTCACCACCACCACCACAATTAACAACTACATCACCCTCTAGAAAATTCCCTTGTGGCCAACTCCTTCCCCACCTTTTACTAAACTAGCAACTGTCAAGCTATTCTGTGTGCCTATAGCAGGTGTCAGCAAATTTTTTTCTGGAAAGGGCCATGCAGTAAATAGTTCAAGCTTTGTGGGCTTTTATAGTCTCTGTTGCTGCTGCTAAACTCAGCTGTTGTAGTACGAAAGCAGCCAGGTAATTAATATATGAAGGAATGCAGGCGGCTGTGTTTCAATCGAGCTTTATTTCTGCAAACTGAAACTTGAATTTTGTGTAATTTTCATGTGTCATGAAATACTATTTTCTCCAACCATTTAATAATGTAAATACTTGTTAGCTTATATGCCATTAAAAAATGGCTGGATTTGGCTTCCAGACCACAGTTTGCTGACCTGTCTTTTCCAGAATGTCATATAAATGGAATCATTCAGTATGTAGCATTTGAGTCTGCAGTTTTGCTGTTTAGCAGAATGCATTTGAGATTCATCTGTGTTGTCACAGGTATCAGCAGTCCATTCCTTTATATTGCTGAGTAGGATTCCATTGTATGGATGTAACTGTTTATCCATTTTCCAGGTATATAGATGGTTTCTAGTTTTGGTGATTGTAATTTTTTTTTTTTTTTGACAGGGTCTCACTCTGTCACCCAGGCTGGAGTGCAGTGGCATGATCATGGCTTACTGCAACTTCCACCTCCTGGGTTCAAGTGGTTGTGTGTCAACCTCCTGAGTAGCTAGGATTACAGGCGTGGCATCACCACACTTAGCTCATTTTTTTGTGCTTTTAGTAGAGGTGGAGTTTCACCATGTTGGCCAGGGTGGTCTCTACTCCTGACATCAAATGATCCGCCCACCTCCGCCTCCCAGTGATGGGATTATAGGCATAAGCCACCACACCTGGCCTTGATGACTACAATTAATAAAGCCCTGTAAGTATTTGTGTACTGGTTTTTGTTTGTTTGTGTTTTCTGCGATGGAGTCTCACAAACTCTGCTGCCCAGGGTGGTGTGCAGTGGTGTGATCTTGGCTCACTGCAACCTCTCCCATCTGGGTTCAAGCCATCCTCCCACCTCAGCCTCCTGAGTAGCTGGGATTACAGGCGCTCACCACCACACCTGGCAAATTTTTGTATTTTTAGTAGAGATGGATTTTCGCCATGTTGGCCATGCTGGTCTCGAACTCCTGAGCTCAGTCAAGTGACCTGCCCACCTCAGCCTCCCAAGGCACTGGGAGCCACTGCGCATGGCCTGTGTACAGGTTTCGTGTGAACATAGGATTTCATTTTACTTGGGTATATGCTTATGAGTGGAATGGGATACAGAAGTTTCTAAGAAACTGCCAAACTGTTTTCCAAAGTGGCTGTGCCATTTTGCAGTCCCACCAGTAGTGAGTTCCAGTGGCTCTGCAGCCTCTACAAAAATTGGTATCAGTTTTTATTGAGTTTTGAGAGATTTATATATTCTTAATACAAGTTATTTGCCTGATAGGAGATTTGCAAACATTTTCTCCCAGCCACTTTTCATTCTCTTAATAGCATCTTTTTTTTTTTTTTTCGAGACTGAGTCTTGCTCTTGTCACCCAGGCTGGAGTGCAATGGCACGATCTCAGCTCACTGCAACCTCTGCCTCCCAGGTTCAAGTGATTCTCCTGCCTCAGCCTCTCGAGTAGCTGGGATTACAGGTGCGCACCACCACGCCTGGCTAATTTTTGCATTCTTAGTAGAGACGCGGTTTCACCCTGTTGGCCAGGCTGGTCTTCAACTCCTGACCTCAAGTGATCCACCCACCTCGGCCTCTGAAAGTGCTGGGATTACAGGCATGAGCCACCGCGTCCGGCCTGAAGCATTCTTAAGGCACCATAAGTATTTACAACCCGATCATTCAGGGAACACTTACCCTTTCAGTTCCTCTTTGAACCAGGTGCCAGGTTGTTACAGTAGCTTCCTAACTGGTTCCCTCACACTGCCTACAGCCTTTCCTCTTTCCAACTTGCATACTGCTGTCAGATCATCAAAACGACTTTATGAAGATGAATCTTTTGCTCCCGGTTGCAAGTGTTAAATCATTACTGCTTCTGGCCATTCAATAAATGGTGGTGAAATAGCGAGAATGTAACAGAGGCCATATCAAGCAAGTATATTGCTGTAGATGAGTTTCTGTGTATTCTTCCGGTTTGACCAGCGTGTCCCAGGGCCACCGGGCACAGAGGTGCTTAGTATACTAAGAATTCTGTAGTAAAGGGTTCTAGATACATTAAAAAAAAGGAAATCTTGATTTTTGTTTAAAAAGTAAGACTGTGGAACAAGATAGATCAGAATATTAAGGTTAATTACCTATGTGTTGTGACTAGAGATGATTATCTGAATTTTCACATTTTCTATAACATTGTTCTTAAAATTTGGAAACCTGAAATCAGGACAAAACCTTGGCCTGCCTTAGCAGTGATGTACAGCCTAGGGATTTGCTGCCATTTGGGGCTTTCTTAAGAAAAGGAAAACCCTGGCCGGGTGCAGTGGCTCACGCCTGTCATCCCAGCACTTTGGGAGGCCGAGGTGGGCAGATCACCTGAGGACAGGAGTTCAAGATCAGCCTGGCCAACATGATGAAACCCTGTCTCTACTAAAATACAATAGCCGGGCATGGTGGTGGCACAGGCCTGTAGTCCCAGCTACTCAGGAGGCTTAGGTGGGAGAATCGCTTGAACCCGGGAGGCAGAGGTTACAGTGAGCTGAGATTGCACCACAGCACTCCAGCCTGGGCAACAGAGTGAGGCTCCATCTCAGAAAAAAAAAAACAAACCCCTTTTCCTTTCCCAGCACGTCATCTTCTCAGTCTAGACAGCAGCAGAAGTCAAAAACAGCCCAGTCAGGGTGAGGCCACCAGGGATTTGGGAGCAGTGCCAATGTTTGTAAACCTAGCCAGGATACAGTAACAAAGTGGCTGGCTAGGCCGAGAACCAGGACGGTGCCAGCTCAGGTTCCCACACTCAACACAGAACTCAGGACCTTGCTCGTGATGGGCTTAGCTGAATGGCTTCTTCATCCTTTCGCATGCTGCAAGAGCAGAAACAGCCAACTATCTGAGACACCATGGCTGTTCCCATTCGTCCAACTCATGCCTGTGGTTCTCATCCCCGAAACCCAAATCCTTGGGTAATGCCCAGCTCTGCCAAGTACGTTCTTCAAGGAACAGCCCCGTTTGTGGAATAGGGCTCTGGACTTCCATCCCTGAAGGCATGCTTCTGCCTCGGGAACTGGAATCAACCTGTGCAGAAGGAAGCGCCTAAAGAAGTACGTGAGGAATTGAAGATTTTTGGAAGAGGCAGCTGTAAATAGGAGGACTTTTATTTCATTTTTTGCTGACATACTATGAGGCAAAACAAAATTGACACCATACAAAATAACTTTATAAAATATCATTCACATCATATTTTATCAGATTTACAGCATTCTGTGCATGTTAGGGGTTATGTAAGGAGGTGAAAAAACACTATGCCAAACTTTTAGTATTAGTTTATATACACACAGTAAGAAACAAAACAAGTAACTGTTAGGTTTTCCATGAATTTATTGCAAAAATAGTGCAAACTACTTAACCTAGTAAGCTGTAAAAACAAACTAGAAAGGACCCAGCTAAGCTTAAACACGACAATAGATGCTCAGTTTCTCAGCATTTAGCTTTCTTCACCAGTTTTATCTTGACAATCAAGACCACCCCCCATCTGTTCAGTCTCGGGTGAGTGCTGAGGAAGAGAAATGTGAAGACGGGCTCTCTGGAGAGACCAGAGGCGCGGGCTGCCTGATTTCAGCAACACATTTAGAATCATGCTACTTCCTCAATTGCAATTTTTCTGAGGTCTGTGTTGGGGGGAAAAAAAAAGGTGACATGATTTTTAACCTTGAGCTTAGAAATAAGTTATCCAACCTCTTGATGACATGGAGAAATGAATTAAGAAAGCAGCATGAACAGAAAGGATTCAGAACATTATTGTCTGCTTATAAACATAGTATCCGCCTCCTCGGGTGTATTTGGCTAATGTTCTAATATAGGGCAACCTTCGAGCCAGATATTGCAGCAATTTTTTTTATTTTTTATTTTTTTAAGGATACTATATCCCTACAAGAGTAATTTTTAAATTTCTTTCAACAGTCTATTGGGGTCCAAAAAGCATATATCTAAACAAAAATAACAAAAGCAAAACAAAATGCTACATGTAAAAGCTAAAGAAATAAAATGCAGCATATTCAGGTTCTTTTTCTTGAGGTACCTATATAAATTTAATCACCTGCCCCAAAGTCCTCTCGTTAGGTTAAAAACACAATGCGTCCTGGGGAGCCAATTGCCCGGC